TATTTCATATCCCTGGCTTTTAGCCACATTTCTTTATTGATTCAGTTTAGTCTTGTCTAGATAGTTTTGCTTCTATTTATGTACTAGCTGTCTAAAAACAGCTTTAGCAGTTATCTGTAGCTGTCAATAAAGATCTTACATAAAAAAAAAAAAAAAAAAAAAAAAAAAAAAAAAAAATTGGGAAATGTCCAGTGACTGCATAATAATAAGGAGAACTAGGGAAAAATCACTCTTTGGCAAGTATTTCACCACCATATTGGAATCAGATTCCTTGACCAGAAGAGTTGGTGTCCATCTAATCCCTCTTTAAAAAAAATACATATAGGCAGTGTGAATCTACAGTTTGTGTGAATAATGATAAGTAATAAAGTATGTTGCCTTACTTGTCATATTTCTTGCAGAGAATCAGTGCAGGATCAACAAGGAATGCAGTAAAGCAGCCATCCATAAAGAAAGAGGATCTCTTAGCAACCAGTGATGCAGTTGGTGAAAATATATCATACACAGCCACATAGGTAGCAAGTTCATCTTTATCAACATCACATGCTGTTATGTCAGTTACATTGTCAAAATAGTCTGAAAAAGAAAGCCATCTCCTTGTGTAATCCTATCTTTCAAAATAGGCAAATATTCACCCTCATCCTCAAGAAATAAAGCAATGCCAGAATGTTAGATGATATTAATACATTACTAAGATCACAAAATTATGCATCTCAACTTACTGGATTTATAAACTTTTTTGCTTCAAGCTGTTAATAAATTCTTGGACAAACAAAGGATCACTCTCATCAATTGGTTGCACAACAGATAAATCTTGTGCTATTATGATTGAATTTTCTGGGAGTTGCAGGTCTGAAAACTTGAATCTTTTGAATTTCTCAACTGTGAAGACCAAATTGTCTCTATTCCCAATAAGCTCCTTGTATTCTTTACTGGCATCTGTCACTGTATAACATAATAGAATGCACAAAATGGATACTATATCAGCCCAATAAAAATTTTAAATTAAGCTCAACTATACCTTTAATCATGGTAATAAGGTTGACAACTATCTCTTTTTGATTGTTAGGCCTGACTTTTTTCAGAAAAGTGTTGAAAACAAACTTATTGTAAAAGTTCTGTTTTGTCTTTTTGTCCCTGAAATAGTAATCAAGTTCTTTCAATTGTGGTTCAAGAGATTGGACCTCATTAATATTAACCAGCATGAACCAGGTACCAGTTGAATGAGGCAGGACAATCACTTCCTTTTCAAAAGATATGGGAATCTCAAGATTGACAACAACTAGACAAAGGACAGAAAAATTTGAGATTTGCTATGCTAGGCAAGAGAACATAATAGTAAAAGTAACATATACCACTTACCTGTGTTCTCTGAGAGTGGGAAATGAATGCTGAGCAGATCAGCAGCAGAGGTCTTTAAATTGGCCAGAAGAATATCATGACGAAGGGGACCATCATATTTAATAATGTCAGGATACTTTGTATGACATAGCTGCCAAAGAACACAAGATTTGGCTCCATAAGCTTGAGCTTCTTGAGGCGTCCCCTTTGATAGAGACAGGCTGCAAGATCAGACATGTTGGGAAGCATAGTAGTGTATTGAATGTGAAATTGGAATGGATTGTCATCATCTTCGAAATGCATCCACAATGTAAACTTGGTGCTTGCAGTCGCCATGTTACTGCTATCAATCCTGGGTGGTATGAAACTTTATGCTGTGCTGAGTATTATGGTGAATTCTGAAAAGAATTTGGAAGCATAAATTAAACAATCAAGGTGCAATTCTAAAAGCAAAAAGGAGTGCAGTTTTGGTACTCACAACAAGAGAAATGCGTTGTGGGTGAAGTCGAGTAGTCGTTCCTGAATAACAATTGAACAATCAATTCACAGTTATTTGGTAAAAACGCGAACCGTGTCTTTGTCCCACAGTGGTTTTTTTGTCGAGTTCATTCGTCGGAATTATCCAGCGGGTAATCGAAACCGACCAATAAAAATCCCGCAAATCACGTTATTGTGAAACTTGACCTACACAATTTACAAGGTCAACCCCAATACAGTAATGTAGCGTGGCGCCGTTGCGGATTTTTCGAAACGCTGTCATTATTATTACTATTACTAAACTATTCAGTTACGCAGAGTTTTATTTTATTTTATAACAATTCGTTTACATATATATCTTGTAGATATATTGATAACAGTTATATAAAGCAAAATATCCACCCGTTTCTACTAATAATTTAATTATTGTCCTGCAAGTTGGATCAAAGAGTAAACGTTGTTAGGTTGAGTTTTGTGGAAGCAAGGTCCGAGATTTTTGTAATCTGTCGTGTTGCTAATGTACCTTGCTGGGAAGAGTCAGTTGAGAGTTTGTTCGCAAGAACGGTCTTCACTGTCGTTTGTCTCCGCTTGTTTCTTGTGCCAGCGGCTGGGAATGTTTCGGTGGTTGGTATGATATTGGTGGCGTTGTCAGCAATAGAGGAGGTGTTGTAGCGGAGAGGAGGTATTGGTAGTAGTAGATGAGGTGGTGGTACAGGAGATGGTGGAGGTGGAGGCGGTGAGTTCATCGATTATCATGGGTCGTTTGGATGGTGTTGTTGTGGGAGAAGGGGTATCGGATAGGTCAGATGGTGGGGATGGATCGGAGGAGAGAATATGTTTATTTCCGCGAGCATGCTGTTATTCGCGACGTCGAGCTCCGCAGACAGGAACAACCCGAGCCGCGACGCAGTTTCCTGGTTCTGGAATACAGATGCACCCGCCCCACTTCATGGTGACATATAATTTCGAATTTTGTGGTCTTTTTGTCGCCTGATCCTCCCGAGTACTGCGATGTGAGCAGTCTGATCATTTTTTTCGATGGGAGGGGAATTTACTGTGCCGCATGTTTGGATAGACGTGCGCGATGGGGTCAGTTCGTTAGTGGCTGTTTTAGTGACATGTAGGCGGTAGGCCGTTATCTAACAAATTAGATTATGCAATAGTATTTAGTATATAAATGTAAATTAGATATAACACGAGTATTTTGGTTGTTTGGAAATAGAGGAGGCTCACTTTGAGGATGTTATCTATATTGCTGGTAATGCTCCCTTCTACTTCTACGATGTCACCTTTTTTAAAATGGTCAATTGATGTGAAGTCAGTACTATTGAGGGGTATGAGGTTTCTATGGTGATGTTGACTTCTGTATTGTCTGAGTTTAAAAACGATGCATCTGCTATATAATAATCATATTGTCCTCTAATAGTTGTACGTACTAGATGATGCAGTGTGATGTTGCCGTGGTACTTACGGTGTATACTTGCGGTATGCGCTTGTGATGTGTATTTATATGGTTGCGGGGAGTTTTCTTGAAAAGATATAATTTATATAATGAGATTAAAGAAAAAGTTTTTCACATTTATCGATGATGCAATACTTTTGTATGCGAAATAATCGTTACCAATGTGCTAGACTCTTTATGGCATTATATTATATCCACCGACACAGAGCCTCCTTTATGTTTGAGAGTGCGTAAATATTCTCAGAATATTTCGGGTTATCCTAATCCGAAAATCGCAATAATTTAACTATGTACCGTACAACGTCACCTAAACTGACTGCGTAAAAGTGCCTTTTCTCTTTTGTAGTACCTTTACAAACTGTTTCAAATAGTAATTAAAAAAATTTGTTGGCGTCAGCGTCATTAACTAGTCGGCATCTGCTCACTATAACAATAACAACGCCCTAGAGTAGATTGTATTATTAACTGTCCCAACCACAAAATAGCTTTATAATTAATTCTTCTATATTAATATAATGTATTACAATAATTGGTACTGAAACCTCTTTATACCGATACGTGTGGCACCGGCTATTTTTATCGGTATAACCAGTTTACCGGTATAATCAGAGGCCCTCTTTATAATAGTACAATCCAATAGGACTGATTCGGGTAAACGAGATTTTATCGGTATAAAGATGTTTGACTGTATTTTTAATATTCTAATATTATTTGTGTAAATAGAAGGACGAATACTGTATAGATTTTTGTTTTTCGAATAATCCGTGGCACCAGGGGTAAACAAACAAATAAAACAAACAAACAAATTCTACATTCCCAACTATTTGTTTTCCTTAAAAAGTAATTTGTCTAATTTTGACGTTTGGTCCGGTGAAATTAGAATTTTTACCATATACGGATTAGTAAATATAAAGCCATACAACTAATACTAAGGATTAAGTATTATTGGGCTTTCGATTGGATTAGACCATGCAAATACTGTTCCAAGAAGCACAGTCATCTCAATAAGAAACAATCGAAAGTCATCTTATGATTGTTGGTTTCATTGGCCGTATACAATAAATAAATATTATGCAAACTTGTAAACACATTTCCCATCATTGTACAAATTCTTTTGTTTTGAATACCGATCTCAATCTTTGTACTAATCAATAATTAAGTATCATCAAACAAATCTTTACCTCTCTCTCCATTGCCACTTGTTGCCATTCGCAAGAACTTTAACTCGCCATTGTTGTTCTCTATACAAGTAAACGCTCGACAGTAAAGCATAATCTGTATAGCGTTGTACCAAACTTGCTGATCAATAAACGCTTGTGTATCTTCCATTGTCCATAACAAGCGTAATTAAAAATCACCTTAAGAAAGTTACAAAGAATTGGGTACAAAGTCATCGATGGCTGGGTTTTACCAAGACATACAAGCCAATGACAAATTAATTTATGATAATATGAATGCATGCTTATGCAGGAGAAAAACGATTCGCTGTCTCCGTGCGGTCCTTGTCCGAGGATATTTTGTGCGCGTGGTACATTGACAGGGAAGGTAGGCGTCAATAGTACACTTGCAGATGAATAAAACTGCTTAGGAACCAAAATTAATTTTTTTTTCCAACTCGTTTTATTCACTCCCTTTCACCCTCTGTCAATTGGAATTATTATTATTCCTCTTATTCATTCCTTATATATTCGTTTTTCGTCTAGGGCTGCGAAGTATATTCGCCTAGCCTCTGCTGTAATTCTTACTCACGCGCTGGCAACTGTGAGTTAGTATTTGCAAGATTCGTAACTGCAGTGCATTTGCTTAAATGGAAAATGCCGTCAATGTCAAGATGGAGTATGCATTCGAAGAATCATTCATCTCGACGTTGGTCCGTTCATAGAAGAGCAGGTAAACGTGGTGATTATGGTTATGGTGATGGTGGTGGTTTTGGTGGTGGCGGTGGTTATGGTGGTGGAGGTGGTTATGGTGGTTATGGTGGTGGAGGTGGTTATGGTGGTGGAGGTGGTTATGGTGGGGGAGGTGGTGGTGGCTTTCCATCTCCGCCTCCAGCGCCTTCGCCAAAACCTCCAGCACCTTCACCAAAACCTTCAGCACAACCAATCCCCACACCAACCCCAACCCCAACACAGCCAACAGGTGGAAAGCCGCAGCCAGAAACAGGAGGAGCTGATAAACCACAACCAACACCTAAAAGTGGGAATAATAATAATCCACCTCCAAAGGACGCAACAGGTTCTAAACCAGATGGAAATCCCGACAAGTCTGGGTCATCTTCATCCACTAATAACAATAATGGCGTTTCACCTAATACTATAAACAATAATGGCGACAGTAATGCAAACGGTAATAATACTTCTAGCTCATCAGTCGGCGTGTCGCCTGGGGGATCATCCAGCATTAACAGTCCTCCTAATCCCGGTGGCGGGTCTCCTCCGATCGATGGGGGAGCAACTGAACCAAAAACCAGCAACTCTTCTGCTATAATACTGGCATTCGTAGTCACACTGATTTCGTTAGGATTGATAGGATTATTCGTTTACAAAAAAAGACGTCGTCGACGGGGGCATGCTGAAAACCGCAACGAAAAGAGAAAATCAGACTCCAGTACAATAAACTTATTCTCACCAGCGTTTAATCTCGGCTCAGCGCCAGCTACACTCGAAAAGGTATCCGCAGATAAAGACACTCCTCCTACTGAAGAAGTTCGCCCATCATCTCCGCCCGGCTCTTTCGAGCGATATTCCGTTGATTCTCAAACCAATGTAGCATTTGATGTCATACCGGAAATTGCAATCCATGGCACTCCTGAAAATGATGATGGCAATAACGACGACGACGGCGACGATAATCCTAGCGTAGTTGTGCCAGATATTATGGTAATCTCAGAGGAAATAGCGTTTCCTATACCTCCAACCAGAGATGTCGATAATGGCAAGGGATTATCATATTCGTCGATAGATGACGAACACTACATGTAGTATAATATAATATTAAAAATGGGTGATCTGTATTATTGATGTTTAGATTAGAACTTGTATTCATATAATATACAACAAAAATATTCAACATGATATGTATTTGTCCATGATTTGATAGGTGAAAGCCAATAATAATAACCAGCCGAAAAATTTAAACATCTCGTAGGTGTATGTATGTTACCTAAAATGCACATTGATATGTCAGCGCATGCGCTATGTGTAGTACAATTTACGGGAAACTCCTTGTATAGTAATAGTATAAAGAAATTTTATCACCGTGCAATCAACATGATTAATCCACTAATATGCTGTACTGCGATATCCTTTCCCAACATTTTTAATAACTAACTCACATCTGCGCTTATCAATTAATTAACATGGTTTCTGGAATTGTCTCGTGAATATTAACATTCCGGTCATGAGTTATAGGCCAGCAGATGCTAACTCTTGGTTTTAGTTTATCCATAAAAATGAAACATCTTAGATAGTCTAATGCTCGTGGGGAGAGCATACCTTGAGATTCAACCCTTCGAACAAAACCTTTGACTATCTATACTAATGTTAAATCTATAAATCCAATTAGTGATACCTTAACTATACTCACTATGTTAAATCGGTCTTGTACACACCGATCCTTTAACTCGAGCTAATACGTCGATTTCTTTTGATGGGATTAATTTCAAAAGCCTATCGGTCGGGGAATTCTCACTACCCTGATGTCAAAGATTTCAATGAAATTGATGGCATAACTTGCAAAAAAAAAATCAAGATAAATAGTGCTTTCTTTTAGATGTAAACTCAATTTTATGAATAAAATTTTGAGTAAGTCAACAAGAAGCGAATGTAAAAACTATTTTACACCAACAGATCGAACTTATCAGGCAATATATATATATATATATATATATATATATATATATATATTTGATTTATAATTTTCTAAAATTTAAAAAAACAATGCGAACATCTTGTAGTAGATTAGAGACAGTTATTATAAGTTCATAGTCTATCCAAATCAAACTGAGATTATTAAAATGCAAATATAAAGACAAGAGTATTTTTTAACCATGTCTGATGTATTGAATAAATAAATAAATAATAATACGTTTAAATATTATTACACACACCCAATTTTTGTATAAGAGGAGTGGAGTGGAGGGGAGTCAGAAAAATAAATAAATGTAGAGTAGATTCAGTGTTCCCATTTTCTTGTTAAGCTTGCCACGGTCCGGAAAGACTTTTGGCCCATACGAGTAAAAACCTTAGTCGAACCGATTTTGAAGTATTCAGGCGGCAGTAACTACTAATTGTATAATAAGACATTATAACGTTGCGGTTATTTGTTTATTGAACATCAATTAGTAGAGGTACTCACATTAACGACTTTTGACTCCAGACTTTTTTGCAACAGTGTCTCCTCACCCTTCTTAATATATTTTGTTTGTGCGGTGCACGTTGAGAAGTTTTCTTTTGTGTCGTGTATTGCATATGGGGAGGAGATCGTGGTTTGTGTTGCGTTTTGTCGAGACATAACGGTTTGACAATCTAACGTTGCTTGGTCGGTGGGGAATGCGGCAAAGATAAAGACTTGTTAGTCTTCTTTAGTTACGTACAGTCAAAGCTCGAAAACCCGATCCAAATTTGATAACCGACATTATTTGGTTCACATTCTTATAGAATTAAGCCGATATACCAATAGCAAAGCTCTACAAGATCTGATATCATTTAATGAAACATACCAAACACAATCTTTGCATGATGTCGCAACTCACTATTAACCGTAAACGCAAGATTAATTATTTATTGAGTATTGGTTTACTTTGGTATTTTCGGAAATTTTGTTCTCTTTGGCTTACTGATGATGATATTATTGCAACCGTACAAAACGAGGAAGAAGACGAAAATAATGGTGATAAGGAATAAAAATTGCAAACTATAATTTCATTAAAAGTGGCTTTAGAAAGTGTAGACAATGTAATGCGATTTGTCAATTCTCCTAAGGAATTATCGGTTTCTGCGTTTATTGAAATCAGAAATTTGGTGCTATCAAACAGATAGTTTAAATCACTCACAAATTGGTAGTTTCATTGACGTTGCACATTATAAAATTCATACAGTAATAGCGAATCCCTTAATCATCTGGATGGTTAAGTCATTGAGGTGCTTAAATGCTTCTACCAATAAAATTTAATACACATGCAAACTCGATAAGTCGGTCTCTCGATGATTCAATTTTTGGCCCAAGGAGGCCAAAACTTCCCAAGCCCTTTTCTCAATTTTAATATCTAAATCTCTCGACAAGTCGGTCCACAATGCATGACCGACTTATCGTAAATCCTCAAAACCGGCATCGCGCCTCTATCGGTTTTTCGAAATTTACGCGCGGAAAACCGATAGAAACATTACTATCGGTCTTTCGATCAATTAGCATAAGTATAACATTCGGATACTATTTATTAGCCTGTCCGTGTATAGAGCACACTGGTAAGTGAAACCCTTGTTAATTAAATCACTACGTAAGACTAGCCGTTCAACTTATTTACGTGTTTGTCGCAAACTATGTGAACGTTAATCAGTAATATAACTATTGCTATCACCTAAGACATAGCATGAGCATAAGCAACGACCCCTTTACTTACAATTTATAAAAATACACGTTTAATCTGTCTTCAAATCCATACATTAATATACAGTAGTATATGAAAGTGTCTAAAATTCAGATTTAATGGCTTGATTTTCGGCTCAAGTTGCGGAATATTGTACGTAAAGTCAATTAAAAGCATAGCAAACAGACATGAATAATTTATGTAGCAGAACTGATACTATTAATGTAGACTCTCTTATAATGTTATATGATTCCACGGTCTAGCAACTTTTTGTCATATTCAGAGCATATTTCCAAAAACTACAGGTTTTGTTAACAATTTCGCTTACAATTACAATTGACGAATAATTCTCGCCCTACGCGACGATATAGCGTAGTATGAGTAATCAATAAATTCAATCGTTGCTATACCGTTAGAGTCTACTTTACGAATAACATACTCAGTTCATGTATTAATATCAATTTATACTAATTACAAATAATTCAATGCACTCTTATGATTAAATTAATGTTTTGAGTTTTATTACGTTCTATTGCGAAATAAATAATAAAATCCGATTACTTTAGATAACTGAACACTATGTTCTAATATATCATTACACTTCCCAGCTCTCGGCATAACATTCATAAACTCATTCATAATTGCTCGCCACGCCCATCATCCACCCCCCCACCACCAAGAAATCAAGTCAATTTTTTCACATCAATCTCCACGCCCCCGGACGATCGCTGACTACCACCTCCATCATCTCTGTAGCTAGTTCTCCTGCTCTCTACTATTTTCTTTCCTTCAGTCCACGATTCTACCTCATCAATCACCAACTTCAATCCATTCTGTTCTGAATTCCCAGACAGCAGCCCAATCAACCCAAATATAGTACCAAGTGCGGCGAACAATGCTATAGCAATAGTAATGATAACAATAACCCAAGATGGGGGGTTAAGAGCACTAGCTTGAATAATTATGGTCATTAAGATGCCGATAAAAATTATAGATGAAGACGTGTAAAAAATTGCAAAGTGCAATTTTTGCTTTGATATGGATTTCTCAAGGTCGTTGCGGAAAACCTCGAGTATGTCATCAAATGTTGCAGAATCCGAATCATGCTCGTAATCATACATCCCCTGCTCCCAAACAGTCAACGGAATAACCGAAGCTTTACCACCCCCTACAATCGTGAAAGTAGCCTCGACGCCAAAATGGTCAGTAAAACTACAATTCAACTCTGGTATCACTTCCGTAAACACAACTTTTGCGTTACTACACCAGAACCTTGAAGTCTTTCTATAAAAAACGTAATCAATTCTCTGACCAAAGTGCTTAGACTTCTGTGCTTGTTCCAGCGACCCACTCCAAGTGTTTTTGGGCGAGTCTGACGTGTAGCCTTTTTTTATAATTGTCGCGTCGACATCAATATCTTCTTCTTCTTCTTCTTGAACTGCAGATGAATCATCTGAAATTATAGGCGCAGTCGACTGTTGGAAATTCCAAGCATCAGTTATTTGTCCGTGTGTAGTAACGAGTTTGTAGAATAAGGTGTCGGATCTGCTGTTAAAATCACCGAGCTGAAAAAAAAAACACAAGGTGAGTAATTTTACAAAAATAGTAATTATGCGAGGGTGTGTGAGACTATGGAAGGACATTGCGTTGATTATGCGATCGAAACTGATAGTACTTACAGCAATGACATTACGTCCCCGTGCCGCAGATGCTCTCAATATGTTGGCTATCTCCCACCCTTGCGCGATTCTATGACTTAAATATTCGTCCTTTTCTCTAGGTCCATATCCAGCATGTGTCTACAGGTAAGCGCGGTTTGTTAGTCTCTTGCTTTGAATTTCGGTTATAAATTTACTAACAATGAACGCGGCTAACTCGGCCATATTTTTCCATCACACAATTAATTCTTTACCGATGCCATCTATGAATTGAACTTTCGAACCTCTAGGTAGCGATTAAAATATGTATTGGTTGATATTGTATATCTCGTAAAGAAAGTGCGGGGAATGTTAAAAACATTAAATGCGACATAAAATTGGTCTAGGATCGACGATCTAGAGAATTTTGATCGCACATAATTGATTGAGTCTGACTCGTTACAGAAAACGGAGGGAATATTAACAAGTTAACCGAATCCCAACTAATCACCGATATATGTTAATGGCTAATCAAATGCTCAATAGAAGCCACACCTCATAACCTATATGTGCTTCACTTGCAGCATTTTCTCTTCCCACTTACATGCGTATTAAACACCTCGGTGAATCCTCCCACTGGATGGTCGATGACTATACTCGCAACACCTTTTCCAACATACCAATCACCATGATAAAAATTTATTGCCCGGCCATTCAGTCTGTATGGATGGAAGGAGACTTCCACGACAGGATATCGCGATAGAATTGCTAGCCCACCACCGAATATTCCACTATTTACGGTGAGGAAAACAAAAATTCACGTTTTTAACACCTAGAGTCTATGTCATTTCTTAAAGATTAGTCTCGTGACTTTATAGCAAGCACTAACCTGTGGAAAAACTTTGAATAAGGGAATCTCGATTTGGTTCTTGACCTGATGAGCTCATAGTCTGCGTATACCCACACCTCTTGCAGGCCAACTATCTCATAAGCCGAAGTAGCCAGGGCATCAGCTATTGCTTCCATTCGCTGTGGCCGCAACTTTGATATTACGGCAAGGCCCCTAAGGAAAATGTATAGAAGGGTTGTGTTTGTCTTTGTCTTTGACTTGATACAGAGACGGTACATATGAACCTTACCAACAGTTGAGAGACAGCACCGTCAATGTTGTTGTGCTCGAGCCACTCATTTTCTTTTCCAAGTATGATCACTCTTTATGAGAAACTAGTTGTTATAACTTGTTTGTTTTTCATCAATTAGTTATGTGGATCAAGTGACTAGAGTAGTTTTAGATTCTGTATTCATGCGGTTTAGAGTTATTCTCTTACAGAAACAGCACTTTCACGCTCAACGGGGAATGGTACCTTGGTAATCGGTGACTTGCTGGTCGGAAGATCGTCTTCTACCAAGTGATGTACTAAATATTTTTCGACGGAGTACAACCCCAGATTAATATTCACAGATCCAATGAATCTCAAGTTTGTTAATCACTTTATATTCTACTTATTAGATGCTATAGTCTGAATATGTTGTATCATTCCGAGCGTTTTCAGTTCTTGTCTCGGATAAACCACCCAAGATTGGCCAAACTAGAATTTGTGGTGAAATTTAAGAACATGGGTTAAAATATTACAAAGTTTGAGTATTAAAATTAATATCTTGTATGTAGCTTGCTAGGCGGTTTAGCAGACATGTTTGCATGTCTCTGGAACTTGAATTGAATTTACATGGCCAAATCCTTGATTATTCATTTAGCCGTAAAAACTGGCCTAAAAGAAAATGAGTGAGCGACTCGTAGTGGTACAATCTTGGGTCTATAAATTCTGCCAGCTGATGTAATCTCTCACCTTATTTTAAACTTTTCAAATCTCTTGAAAAGTCTGACAATAGCAGCTTTTGTGCATAATATGTGCTGCTATGACTCATTTGACCATTTTAATTAAATCAATCAAATATGTATGTTAATTAACCGTAATCACATTAATTTAAGCGCTTTATTGATGAAAATTTTATAGTCTTTTGTGGAGTGTTTTGCCTTATTGGTCTACCTTAGAATGCAAATTGTCAACAATTTGTACGACGCAAGAACCAATAAAACTCGATATTCCAATCTAGTGTAACAAATAAATTTTGCACAATTAACGTTCTTTGTTGAAGAAGACACATGGTTAAAAATACGTAGTAATACAAACAATCCCTTGCATACTAGTACTAATAAGTATTACTTGTGCGATGAGCGTTGAGTTAACGACCGTCATAAATATAAAATAATTTTACATTTTTAATCAAAGAACTTTAATTTCTTGCTATTAAAACTATAAGGTTCAAATTTAAAATACAACCTTGACGTTATCCGCCGCAACTAGAAAGTGCTATATATTAATATGTATACAAAGTAGTAAAAGTATGTATAATTACCAAATATGTATAAAAAAAATTAAATATGGCAGTTTAATGCACAATAGTTTCTTGAGGCATGTAGTAATTGCGGCTAATTTACCATAGGTTAAAGAAAATTGTGTATTGGTATGGGTTTAAGATTTTCCTAAATCAATCTTCTTAATATTAATAGCCCAGATCAATAATTAATGGCGGCATAACGAGTGTCAACCAACACTTAAAAAAATTTTTTTTTCTTAATAAGCTAAAATAACAATTGACTAATAACTGTAAAAGCTTTCTCATAAAACGTTTACAGATTACTCAATTTTATGCGTTTACCAGCAGGTATGCATTGAGACTTTGGAAAAAGACGTAAGGTCTTAGACTATAACGTCAATGCATTTTATAGGTATAACATTTACTAATAATTACGTTGAATTATAGATTGAAGAATAAATCTGTGTTATACTTTAGTTGATTTGATTGCAAGGAAAAGTGGTTAGAGGTATACTTAGAAATACTTGTTGGAAGCAAAAATAGAGGAAAGTTGGTACAAAAAAAATATATATATAATTACTTAATGGCTACAGCGCTTACAGTTGAACACAGACGTTTATGTATCAAATCAAACAAGTAAGCGAGTTTATTATTAGTTTGTTAAATGATTCATGTTTGATATTCAATACAGCAAGTAGTACCTCAGTTATATCTCTCCCACTTGTATCCCAACCTCGGTTACCCCCCAGCTTTGACGCTGGACGGATTGCCCTTATTTAGTTCCATATAATCTACCTCAGTTGTATCCCACTCAGATATATTCCTATCCCCAATTTTTAATAAACCCAATTTCCCAACCTTATAATAATCTATTATTGAACATATCTTGTTTATATTCCCTCAAGTATATTATATTTATTGTATACTCGTTATACCCAAGTGTCGGGGGAGGCAGACATTCGGTATAGTGAAGTAACGAAGTTAGGCCTAGGTCGCTATAATTAGACTTGTGCAATTTACAAACAATAATACATGAATATAATTTAAAAACTTTGAAATACGGCTGAAATCATACGATCAAAAATATAGGCACACAAATACGACATACTATTAAAAATCTTAATATCGTATGACCAAAATCGTATGATCCTCATCTGCTACAACCAGTCGCTATTCTACATTATTAAAATCCTGCATCGAACTTTGGTAATGGTATAACGAGATTTTACTATTAAATTCGTTATAACGAGGGAATTTACTATTTAAAAAACGGGGGAGCCAGTTCGACTGTATGCTGTATCACACGTCATTTTTTAGAATACGTCGATCATTTGCTTCATTGCTTACGAGTCATAATTCACGATATGACGTACAGCAAAAGCATAACAATACATAAATAAGATCGGGTCACAAATCAGGTCACAAAATCAACATGGGGGGGCATAACAATAAATCAGACCACATAAATAAAATCAGGTCACAAATGTCACAAATCAGGTCACAAAATCCACATCGAGACATAACAATAAATCAGGCCACATAATACAATCAAGCCACATAGTCATCGGGGCATAACAAGGAATCAGGCCACAAAATCAACAGGCACAAGTAAATATAGAAGTGAAGGAGAAGAAGAAGCAAGTGTTTCCATAAAGATGGGAAGAAAAACACTTGTGACAGCTAAGAAAAACAAGGAGAATTGCGACAGAAAACAATATCAGATACATGCGCAATATAATTTGGTAGAAAGGTCGAAAGGTCAAACGTCACCGATAGAACTTATTAACCAATAAAATTGCATAACATTACCTATTGAAACGCTATAGCTTTGTTATATCCCACATCAGAGTCCCAACATGGGGATGTGACTAAGGTAGGCAATATGTATTGGTTTTGTCAAGTTTGCTTGTAAGAATGATACAAGGTGCACAGAAAATAACAAAATACTTAATTTTAAGTACATAACAACAATAATAACAATAACAAACGCAGTTATTAAGCATTGTATTTATTGTGCCTGTACATACATTTGTAATGTAATGAAAATTTAAGGATTACTGTGGAGGTGTCAAATATCAGATTTCTGGTTTGTCAAAAATAATTTCAAAGAATTAGTCATTTAAAATTATTTGTCATTTGACAGTCTGGCCCACGAGGCTTTTAGGAATAAATATTGGGTATCGGATTGAGCCTTTCGAATTTTTAATATAACAGTGAAAATATTTTGGAAAGGTCGATTGATACGCCAGTGATTTATATGACTGTCATACAAAATTGCGTTCGTTATACATGCCGTTTTTGGTAAATTAGTAGGCTCGTTTCACGATACAATGGTTCTACCTGCATATAATAGGTGCGCTGCTCGGATATTAATCATTGTTGTCTGTGACGAGTCATGGCTTTTGAACATCATCATGACGTGTTTGCAAACAAATCGAGCAAATTTGGAAATTCATCAGACCGATTGCAGAGGAAAAAAAAATACCCGGACTTTGAAGTCCGTCCATGAATTTTTCTAGTAACCACCATTACGTATGCATTGTTGCGCGTAACATCTTCTTTGCTCAATGAGCGGCATTTAATTAACACGAAACCGGCAATAATCGTAAATGACTGTCTTTTTGACAACACAAATGATTTATTTTCGGCGTCGTTTCATCCGTAATTATCGATCATAAGAACAATGATTAATGATTGCGCAGCAAAAAAAGGTCGAAAGTGCGCCCTCACTTGTTAATTTGAGTTGATCGATTTGATTTGTGGATTGAACCCCTGAAATCTGTGGCCATCATTTTCATCGTGTTTATTTCTTTTGTTGGTTATCCATTACCTCAATTGTCCGGGTTGTTTTGCAGATCGACATTAATGGTGTCACCGATGCATATACGGTATGCACGTTTTTGTAATCAGAATATGATAAAATGGTGAAAATATCGTTGAAAACTCTCTAACCTTTCTCCGACGATCATAGGCTTTCATTTTACATTCCTTTGTATTTTACGAGGCGCTTAGTGTGGTTGGTTCTGATATAGTTCTATCAGAGGAACGTTGTGTCAACAAATAAAATACGTATAGCAAAATATAGGCAAGTATCATACCGTATATCATACCGTATATCATATACACAAGCACACCACTGCACTGCTGGTTAGCGGCTATTCCAAATTCCGTCGTCAATATCGTTGTTCTTGTCCATTATTGACAAAATACATTCACTATCCACAGACACTATACCTATAATGACAAAAATTTGGAGACACAAAGAGTCTTTGTCAAGCGGAGAGGACAAAAAACCTCCAACCGGTCCTCGTTTCGGCATCGATTTTGAAGTGGGAAGAACCCTAACACTGCGGCCCGATTATATAGTCAGAGGTAGTGTATAAATTATAACTCTGATTGTGCTTTGGCCGATGTTAATTGAGCATTGTAAATTACAGGCGTCGTCGTGTTAACAATCCTTGAAAACGAGAATCCCTTATGCGTCTGTGATGTAATGATAAAGTTCAAAGGTGATTAAATTAATGCATGTTGACGTTTACGTCTGACAACAGAGAACGATGCTGTTGTATTTTTTGAACATCGTTCGCGCTCAATCACTAAACGAGAATCACTGTTATCAATTGTACAATCGTGTGTATCTCGTCCAGCTGAAGAGACAGTTGTAGCTAAACTCAAGGACGGAACAGGTCCTGTACTCAAAGAAGTCATCAAGGGCACGATTTTCGATTGTTCGGAACACATCTGGAGTGGTGATCATGAAACCCCGGGAGAGCATGGGCAAGGTATGTAAAGAAAGGTACATCTGAAAGTATATGGTATTGAATTGAAATATCCATCAATGTTGACGGATTCTTTTTACTTTCTTTGTAATCCAGGAGGTGATTATTGTCCTTGGGAAGAACTTGCTGCTGGAGTTTATCATTTTCCATTCGCTGTCAAGGTGTGAGCAATTACAGAATCTAACTTTAGTCAACTATTGCGATTAGCAACTAAACAATTTTTTTTTTCGCTCATTCCAGCTTCCTCCTGTAAACTTCCCGCCTTCAATAGAGGTATTATTCGAATCCCAATCGTTTTGCATGTCCTGTTTATATATCGCTTGATCACATTGCGGGGGGGATCAATTTATTATTTATTTGCTTACTAATAAACTATGATAATATACCAAACAGGGCCCAAGAGGATTTTCGATAAGGTATACTTGGCAACCAGTGTTAAGAGTTGCTGGAGGTACTTGCATAGACGGCCCTGCGCTGGTCACACCATTTGTACCCACAACATTTGCGCCCCCTGGTGAAGACTGGGTATATAAAAAGACACTATATAAAACTAGCAAAAAGTTGACCACAAAAAAGGAACTCGTTGATGTGGAAGCGGTCCTTCTCGGAAACGTATTTGCTCCTGGTTAGTAGTATATAACAGGATGGTTGCAATCACTAGTCAATACGAGCACACATCGCTCAAACATGATTTGGCTCACTAGTCATAATCGATTAGACATATCACTAACACTTGGAAATATTTTCTTCCTAGGCCAAGAACTTCAATTCACTCTCCGTCTAACCAACCACTTCAATGGCCGTATCACCTTTGTTCATTGCTCCCTTCGGAAACATTTTGAAGGCCCGTTAGACCAAGATTTTCCATGTGAGAATCATGAACGCTCTCTCGCATCAACAGAACGACGATGCAACATATCCTCGAAAAAAACTGAAGAACTCCGATTCTCCCTCACAATCCCTCGAAAACATCGTCACGTCCCTCCTACACATACCGGTCGTCATATACGAGTACACTATACATTGCGATGCGTAATTCAGGCTGAAACGGGGAAAGTGCTGACAAAAATGCAATGCCACGAAGTCATAATCCCGATTACGCTAGCTTCGTATGCGAATATAACCTTGGAGAATTGCGTGCTTCCGACTTTTCCAAGCCATGAACGATTACAGATGGCGCCGTTCTTTTTTGATCCGTTACAGGATTTCCCACCAGACAGCCGCATACATTTTGGGGGCGACTATTATATGCACGAGAATAGTTTCACGTTGTCGCCAATGAATGGATATCTGTATGATCATCTGAATGCTTTGGATGGAGAACATGAGGATTCATCAAGTAGTCATTCGCCATATAGTGGAAGTGGATCGGGCATATATAGCGAATATAGTATAGGTGAATGGAATACTGATAGTTTTACCCTGGCTTCGTCGGTAGGAAGTCGCGACAGAGTGGAACGATCACTTTTTACAAGACAAAGACTAGAAAGGCGTATGTGAAATGTGCACGAAAAAGTCTTATCAGATGATGCCTGTTATTTCATGAGTTTCGGTAATGTTATCGAATGTTTTAACAGCAGATTGATGGTTTTTCGTGTTGTTAATTTTAACAGTCGATTTTTGATAATGATGTAATTATGAAAATGTAATTTTTTGAATTCGATAGATTGCTGATTTAGTACATATCATTTGCATTCTTTACACTATACTATACTATTATTACAATGTATAATTACCCATAATGTCACATTCTTTACACTTGTAAATTATCAGATCCGATTAACAGAAATGTCAATAATAATAATTAGTCTATACATTCATTACTCTTGAATTATTGCAGTGTTATAACTCTTGATTTGAACAATTTTGGATCTTTGTTTTTGGCAAAAGGGTAATTCCCTGATCTGTACAGTCGAGCAATGCGTATTTAACTGCATTGTTGTTATAAGAAAAACTAATGGGTTGCTGATAGCAACAAAAAGTCTATTTGAATAGACTAAATTATTGTACAGTCCCCGAAAATAACGGCAATAACGGTCGTTTTCATGGTTTTTATAAAATCCAATACAAAATCGGTTATCTGTTGTTACTATTACAGTAATATGTAAATGGTTAAAAATACCCTTGTCGTTATATTTGTATTTTAATAATCTCGGTTTGATTTGGATAAAATCAAAAATATATATTTTCCTGATATGTTAATTTTACATTTGCTTCTTGCAATATTTACGTACAGTGTAACTTGAGAATTCTCTCCAAGATAATTCAAACTATGCCGTTAACGTCTGAGACAGTTATTCAAGTTTATAGTCTATTCAAATCAAACTGAGAATATTATAATAAAACGCAAATCTAAAAACAAAATTTTTAACCCGCCCGACGTATTAAGTAAAATAAGAAAAACCATAATACGTTTACATATTATAATTAACATATTGTAAAGATTGAACTCGCTTTTTTTTGTCTAGACCTCCTTTCCTTTTTATTATCTTTTTGCAATGATCAACACCAAACGTAAACGGCCTTTCGATCTTAAAGTTATACTATATGCTATATGCTGTGCTATGCTTTGGGCCGCAAAATGCCTGTGATGAACAGGATCATGCTAATAATAATTTATTTACAATCAAAGAAAATCCAACGAATTGCTTATACACACACAGTGAACCCGGATATAACGAAGGAGATGGTGCTGACACTTTTCTTTCATATGTCGATGTATATATATAGTATATCTAATTATGGTAATACACAGAACAAACTGTTCTAGAAGACTTTAACGGCAACGCGATAGCTTGATCGAATTATTCAAATTTCGTGCACTGTTACTAATATGAATAAATCTGCCTATGTCTTTAAAATTTATCGCTTGATAAACGTGAGGGGTTATATCCCCATTATCAGTATTCCGGTTCATTAAAAAAGCTCTAACCACTGAAACCAGGTCTCAGTTGGACTCTCGCTTTGTTGAAGATCTGCCTCTTCTCCTTATCCAAAATATCCACTCCGACCAGTGGGAAGAAACATATCTCAACAACTTGTGTCTCATCCACTCCGTCATCATCTTGAGCACATTCCATCGTAGCGGGATCGAACTTGGTCCCACTCTCGAAAAAGTGATACTCAACA